CCTGTTCCCATTAATTTTTTTCAAAGGCACATCCCAAAAAGTACGCCCTTGTACAACCGCCCCCGCCCCTCTACTATACTGTCAAGAGGTCAGGATGCAATGTAGATCATGCTCAGTCATTATCTCTGCTTTTTCAGTGCGCTCGTTAATCTTAATTTCCTTCTCTCTCTCCACCCCCCTCCCCAATAACACCCCCCCCCCACAAACAAACAGTTTGTGCATGCGTTGAGTGGATCATGCTCAGTCATATCCTCTGCTTCTTCAGTACGCTCGTTAATCTCAATTTCCTTCTCTCTCTCCACTCCCCAAATTAAATAAAAAACCCAATTAAAAAAAACAAAAACGGTTATGCATACGTGCAGTGGATCATGCTCAGTCATATCTTCTGCTTCTTCAGTTCGCTCGTTAATCTTAATCTCGTCTCTCTCTCTCTCTCTCTCTCTCTCTCTCTCTCTCTCTCTCTCTCTCTCTCTCTCTCTCTCTCTCTCTCTCCCTCTCTCTCTCTCTCCACCCCCCCCATACAACAATTTAAAAAAAAAAACGGTTGCGCATACGTGGACAGGTGCATGTGCTATTCCGAGATTGCTGTTCACTCGATTTGAGGGACTTGCTTTCTAAGAGGAGATGATGTGTGGAGGGAGGTACGTTCACTAGGTGGGGTTACTTACTTACTTACTTACTTACTTACTTACTTACTTACTTACTTACTTACTTACTTATTTACTTATTTACTTACTTACTTACTTGCTTGCTTGCTTGCTTGCTTGCTTGCTTGCTTACTTACTTACTTACTTACTTACTTTGTCTCTCTGCCTTGTTTCTTTCTCTGCCTGTCTGTCTGTCTGTCTGTCTGTCTGAAGTCTCTCTTTGTCTCTATGTCTCTATGTCTTTCTCTATCCCTGTCTATCTATCTCTGTCTGAAGGCCCTCGCTATGCCTCTCTATCTCTGTTTTTATCTCGTTGTCTGTCAGTCATGTCTTTTTCATCTCTCTCTCTCTCTCTCTCTCTCTCTCTCTCTCTCTCTCTCTCTCTCTCT